CCAAGGGGCCCGGTGCCAACGGGGCACAGCTCTTCCTCCAGGCCTGCCTGGCTCCCTGCTCTTCAGTGTGACTCCAAGCAGTGTGACTACTGCTGGCAGGTGCCCAGCACCGCTCCGGCTTACCAAATAACTCACCACCCACGCCAGGGCCATGCCTCCAGGTTCCTGTAGGGGGTGCTACTGCCAGGCAGCAATGGTCGTGGTCCTGGGCCAGCCCAGCAGCAGGCTCTGCAGGAAGGGGCAGGCTGAGGTCATGTCCCCCACCCCTGAGCATTTCCGACTCCCTCAGGAAGCTGGGGGAGCAGTGATCCGGCAGAGGGAGCCCCCTGCCTCCCCTGTTCTTTGGGGTCAGTGAGGAGGTGACAGCTGAAAAGAGCTGTGCCGACGTCAGTGTGGAAAGCACCTGCCGGAGCCGGGCTCTGCAGCCCTTCCCTTCTGCACCCCCCACCTCACCAATTCCTATCCCCTCACGTGGCTCATTACAGCTTTGGCCCCTCAGAGGATCCCCCCTTGCACTGTCCTGGCAGGGCCCCCGGGCACCAGCATTGTAACCAGCGCCGATGCTACCTGGGTGGCACGCACTGGTGCTCGCTAACAGCAGGGCCACGCCCGGAGTTTAGGAGTGTCGGCAAAAGCGGGGAGGCTAGGCAGGTTTCTGTGCAGACGGGCAGGCTTTGAGGGATCTAATCCGAGCGTCTCTGCCCAGCTGGTCTCCCTGGCGGTGGCAAATGCAGGAGAGCCTCCCACGTGGATGCCTGCACTGCAATCAAACACCTGTGGCTGGCCCTGCCTGTTGGCTCAGGCTATAAAGCTGCAGCTACTGACCCTGGGCTCCAGTTGCAGTGTGGACGTGCCCTTGTGGACGTGCCCTTGTGGCCTGGCACACGGGGGGAGGGAGCGAGCCATGGTCACAGAGCTGCAGGGATTAGGGCATCTCCACGTCCAGCTGATGGGCTCAGTCAGTGCTTGGCTTTCTCATCTCCTCTGGGGCAGGAACCCCCGGCGCAGAGTCGCCCAGCACTGCAGCTGTCCCTTGGCATGGGCCTGTGCCCCCACAGCGGGAGCCGGCGGACAGCTGCCTTTGGCACCAGTCCCTGGGCAGGCCCCAGGGCGCTCCGGCTGCTCACTGGAGGCCTGCGTGCTGGAACAGAATCCCAGCAGGCTGCAGCTGCAGCCAGTTCGGGAGCTCGTCTCTGCGCGGGGGAGACGCCCCTCTGAGAGTCCCTGTCAGCCATTCCCAGCACTGGCTGGGCTGCTGGCCCATCGCGGCCAGGCTCCCGCTGGTGCAACGAGCCCCCACTCGGAGTGTTTCCTGGGGCAGGGCAGATGGCCCGGATCTCAGCCCCGGGGGTGACCCCGAGGCTGGGCTGGAGCGCTCCGCTCGGGCTGTCTCTGCTGGAGACCCCTAGGGCAGGGCTGCCTGTCTGCGTCTTCCCAGCACGTACCAAGTGGGGCGAAGGGGCAACTCCCACCTGATTCCGGCCTTGGCTGAATACCAGAGCCCTGTGAATCGCCCTCAGGATGAACCCTTTCCCGGGGGCTACTGGCCTCACTCGGACAGTTGCCTTTCTGGCCTGCCCTAGAGCAGGGGCGGGAAGCCTCCAGCCTACAGGCCAGAAGCCAGCTGCAGGAAGGGGCCCCTGTCAGCCAGGAATGGCGAACTGTGGCGGCTGAGAGCTAAAGCAGCGGTGCCTGCCGGAGACTCCGCTAGACAGAGTCTGGGGGCTGCCAGCGGCTGGCCCTGGTGAACCGTGTGCCCGGAGGCTGCCTGCCTAGCCCTGGCGTGACAGGCCATGCACTTCCTAGGAGCAGTGGACCTGCCAGCCAGAGCCTTGGCTGCCGGTGTCCTGCAGGGCTCAGGAAGAGCACAAGGCTGGAGAGCTGATGCGGCCGTTTCCCTCCCACCTTTCCAAGGCCCCCTGAGAGATCTGCCAGCCAGGCCCTGGCGGGGGCCCATGCACAAGGAGAGCCTGGAAAATGGGCCCTTGCCAAAGGCTTGACCTGCAGCCAGCGGGGAGCAGCTTGGCTCAGCATGACCATTTAAATGAGTGCAAGTTGCTCCCCCGCCCCGTCCCTTCCACTGCAGTCGCTTCCCCTGAGCTGGTACCTAGCTCCCGTTCACACTGAACCTCTGCCCCACATGGTGGGACTCCACACCCAGGCTGGCTGCTCTAGGCTAGTACCTGGGCCCTGCGGGTGGCTGCTGGCTCCCCCCCGCACATGCAGATGGGCCTCCAGCACCTTCCCACACTGCCCCGCGCCCCCAGAAGGGCGGACACTTTCTTCCAGCATGCCCGAGAAAGAATCCAGGACCACCTCCCCAGGAAGTCTGGGAACACACATGGGGCGAGCGCAGAATCAGGCAGGGCACAGAAAGCGGGTGCTGCAGGGGAGCTGTGCATACCCATATGAGGCCACGCCAGGTGGGACATGCCAGGGGCCAGCCCAAGTTAACTCTGCAGTGAGCCTACCCGCTGCGGCCATACAGAGCTCAGCCCCTGCAAAGCGCTGACCCCTGGCACCAGTTCCACCCTGTGCCGGGCCTTGGACGGACAGCTGGGAGCTGAACGCGTGATTGTAGCCAGGGCTCCTGCACAGCAGCTGAGGCGTGAGACTGCCCCAGCTCCTACCTGGTCCAGGTGAGGTTCTCAAAGCATCTTACAAGGGTGGGGAGGGTCAATGTCCCTGTTGGGGAAACTGAGTCACCGAGAGGGAGGTTTTTTTGGGGGGGGAGGGACTTGTCACAGACTGAGTCAGTGGCACAGCCGGGGGAGATCCCATGTCTCCAGGTGTAACTGCTCCCCGGGAGGTTCCTGGCTCAGGAGGTAGAAGTGTCCCCAAAGGGACATGGGACCCTGTCCTAGGCCGACAGAGAGAGAGGAGAGCAGGGGTGGAGCAGTGTTCCGCAGGAGGGACACGTGCCCCTGCCAACCCCTCCCAAACCAGACAGGGAGGAGCAGGCCCTGTGCCCCAGCCACCCCCATGCCTGCCCGGGGGCTCAGTACTGCTTGTGTAACCCGCTGTCCCATATGGTACCACTTAGACCACTTACAGGGAGAGTTAAGAACAAGGGAGCTCTACAGCCTCAGCTGCCAACCAGCTGGCTCTTAGCTCACATGGTAGAGGTGCCTCCACTAAGCTCCAGCCGGCCCAGGTTCAAATCTGCCCAGTGGTAGTTACACATGCCCCGTGGCATATTTGCCAGGTACTTTATCCTCCCCGCTGGGTCCTGTCCCCATTCATCCCTCACTCCTCCGCCTGGCTTGTTCTTCTGTCCTGCCTACCTCGCCAGTGCTGCCCAGGTCTGTGTAACAGTGTCTCTCTGACCTGCACTGCACCCCAGTGGCTGGGAAGGACAGTTGATTTTGCCCTGGCTGGGCACTGGGAGAGCAGGCCTGCTACCTAGACCATGGCAGAGCGTAGGACCCCAGCAGCTGCATGGAGCTCAGTCCCTGGCTGAGATTCCTTCCCCAGAGGCTCAGAGCCGCCCACACTGCCTCTAGGAGAATCCCAGCGTGGTGCCACCAGGAGGCGCTCTCATCACACCTGTGCTTACTGGAAGGCGGGAGAAGGGACGTGGAGGGGCGCTGTCCCAAACACAGCAGCTGCTACTCCCAGCTGAGGGCAGGGGCCTGGCCGTCTCCACGGAGACGCATGCTCCAAGCCTGCAGACCCTCCACCCGCGTGTGCGCCCCATCCCCATGATGCCTCCCCCTACGGAGCAGCAAGGAGACAGGCAGCCGCCGCAGGGCAGTTTCATTTGTTTTTAATAAATACGCAATTTCTCCCAATTCCTGTGTCTGCAGAGAGCGGGAAGGGCCCGGGGCCCGCCCTGAGCAAGGCAGGGAGGGGCCCGCCCTGAGCAGACTCATTAGGGGAGATTAATTTGTCTGCTCAAGGTGGACAGGCCCTCCTGGAAGCATAAATTACACAACAAACCCAGACGAAGAACAAGCAGAGGGAAAGCGGAGGGACAGGGGGATTTTACACTATGTACAAGCCAGGCTAGGATGGGGCCCTGCTGCCCAGGGAGCTGCCTAGGATGGCATGGAGGTGTCCTCCTGAGCCCCATCCCCACAGTGGCCAGGCGCTTCTCCACAGGCAGAGCAAGTTTGGGGGCATGAGGAGGCCCCTCAGCCTCCCAATGGGATCAGGGCTGTGTCCCACACTCTGCCATCCCATGGGGCGCCCCCTCCCCCAGAGCTGGGCTATTGCCACAGGCAGAGCAGTCTATGCCCCCCCCCACACTGTCAGCCCGAGCCCCGACTGGCTTAGTGCGGGTCTGGCGGCAGAGGCAGGGGCTCTCCCCAGCGCGGCCGCTCAGGCCTGGGTGAAGCAGAAGGCAGAATCTGTCCTGTTAAACAAACCAAAGAAAGAAAACTAGTCTAAGGCCAGTGTGGGGGGAGGGGCTGGGCGGGGCCATGCAGCCCTGACCCCC